AAGTTTGACCCTCATTTTGTTTATATTCTAGTTATCCATAATCCCTTCCTCTGATTATGGCCCCTCCTATGTTAGCAGATTTTTTTTCCTGTGTGCTTGTCATTTCATTGCCACCTAGTGGAAAATCCAGCTGATATTGTTAATATGGTTTACAATGCAGCCGACTAGATTTTATCTCCAAAAAATTGTCTTCACAGTCAGTATTCAAAAATATTCCATCAAATCACACCAAAGTGTTATAAAGAGAATTTCCTGCGGTTATGTGTACATAACTATTTCTTTTGTATTTATTTCATACTTACATGTGAAAGTTTTGTAAAAGGTATATTTGTCAAAAAAAATCTTAATAAGCAAACCTAATAGTTTAGCTATTATGCATAGCAAAGAGTATGCATTTCTTAAATCACTGAAAAATAACTTTTCTACAATATTTCTTAAATACCAAAAAGAATATTAACTACAACCTCATAGTTGATTTCCCCATGTTATCATTTATGAAACTTACACTCTTTCTGTCTGTGGAGATTAGTGTGATTTAATTCTATGGAATAGAAAAAAGGACAGATAGCTATCACTAGTTTTGACAGTTCTTTCTATCGGCTCTCACATTTTCTCTGAATTTAACAACAAAAAGTGGCACTCTTGAAATGTATTTTTAAAGATACTCCATCTTCTGATTATTTTCCACATTGGTTTATTTTGAATAAGCATAGGTAAAAAAGAAAAAGGTTTTGAAAAATCATGTATTTGTAAAGCCACATAAACGTGTATCCTGCTTTAAGCCCAAACCCCTAGTGTACATCCCTGAAAAAGGAGAAAGGCTAACTTTGTTTTCTAATAGAGCTGTACCAAATAACTCTCCTAGGCAATCATGCTGACAACAAACAATAAAGAACCTGTCATAAAATAACATGTTTTTATGGTATGCTGCCAGAAAACTGAGCTTTGCAGTGGAATAAATGGCACCATCCTAAAATATGGGCACAAAGGAGAATAGGAAATATGGGATTTATTGCTTGAAAATCAAACTAACAATGGATTACAGCAGTACATTGGGAAAAAATATAAAATGCTCTGAGCCCACTAAATAACCATGAATGATGAGAAGGTGTTTGAGTTGCAGATCACGTGAGCAGCTATACTGCAAGCTTTATGAAAAACCTCTTGAAATTGGTTTCCTTCTCCAATTTAGCAAAGGGAAAGGTATACAAGATAGGATAGATATGAGAAAATCACAAACAAGTACAATATAAATGAGTCTTTCAGCATTAGTGCTCCATCAAATGTTGTTTTCAATTGCATTTTTTATTATGTAGTTCCTAGGGCTACCTTTTGACATTTGTTAATACCTTTAGAAGGGATGTTTGCTTTTGATTTATTTGCTAAAGAAAAGCCAGTGTTAATCCCGAGAAAAGTATTCAATTAATCTAGAATGTCAAAGATTAGAATGAATCCAATTTCATGGAGAAAAATTGAAAAATATACTCTTCCTTATTGTTTTGATGGTAGTGGCACAGTTCACTCCAATATAAAATTTCTCACACATTAATATGGACTATTTTCTGTCTCCAGATGGAGAGAAGGGTGCCATATAAGTATACTTCTACCTCCCAAAATATATTGATACTGTTATTCATCCCTCTCTTAAGTTTTCTAAGGAATTTATGGTCACTGGTGAGCTTCAGTAATTGCTAGCAACTTCAGATTTCAGCCAAACTGGTGAGAAGTCAAAAACATAAAACAAGAATAAAAACAAGGGTTTAGGGTCAACTCATGACACTTGAACTTGGACTTTGGGAACTTGTATGAGTATTTGACTATTTTAGCCTAGAAAAGTAAGGAGCAGTGTGCAAAGACTAACAAAACTTGAAAAGGAAAGAATTTATATATGTGGGAATGCCCTAACGAGAGCCTCTCTTCCTACAACACTGGAGACTATCTTCTCCTGAATAATGCTCGTTCAGCCCCAGGGTTTCTCCAAACATCATCATCTACAATAAACAGGATTGACCTCCACTCTCATGCCTCCCTGGCCTGATCAGGTTGGGGACCTTCTTCCATGTGCTTCCATTCACTACCATAACCCTTATCATGTCATATTGTCATTGTTTACTTATCTCAACCCCTTACTCTCAAGAGACTGAACTGAAGAAGACAAGATCTGTGAATTACTTAACTTTGTATACCTAGTATATAGCCACATGATGAAAGTCTACTAAATTCATAACCAAGTAGGTTATGTGTGAGAACATGTTTTATAGTGTATAATCCTCCTTCTTAAAAAAAAAAAGAGCATTTATTTTGTTTGTCCTGCAAAGTAAATTCTGAAAAGTCTACACAAATCACAAATGCCTTCCAAAATGTAAGTGAGGAAATGCTTCAAAAAGAATATGTGGTGATACATATCTTTACTTTTCTCAAAGGGAAGTGAGTTTGCACAGCAGAAAATAGGTAGATTAAAAATGTTATGCATAACATGGCTTCTTACAAACCAGGAAGCCCTCTTGAAGGTACATCTTCAATGGAGAAATGGAGATAATCTGTGCTTGCTATCTTAAAAAATTGTTGCAAGGATAAAATAAGTTAATGGGAATGAAAACATTTTTGAAACTTTAAATTGGCATGTTAAGGGTATTAAGATGCTTAAATAGCATAAATGGGTTTTCCTACATAGAATGTTCTATTTCTTTGTCTAATATAGGGTAAAAATTGAGGAACACATTTTGGTGACAAGTTTGAGTTTGACATTGTCACTATCAGTCCTTGGACGTAAATAGGATTTTTTTGGCCTATAACTTTGACCTGTTTTAGTTATTATTACTACCCACCACTATATATCAAATATGAAATTTTAATGAAGCTTTAGGTTCAAGTCTCTTTTGTCTTTCCTTGTGGGAGAGTGAAAACTCAAGATAAAGGAAAAAAACTGTTCGTGCCTGCTTCAATTACTTTTAACATTGGCTATAGTGCACGGACTTTGAAAAGCTCCTTGGTGGACCAGAGGCAAAATATAATATCAGCTACCAGGTTCTTTTTTGCATGCCTGCATATGGCAGAATAAAATGGAGGATAACTGGTCCTAACTGGTCTCCACTCTGATATGAAACTAGACTTGGCAGAAAACCTACAATCAGCTAAAGCATTATCGGCTAGATTATAATATATTGGAGTAATATTGAGACTTTACCACTCTGTCAGTCAAAGAGTTTAATAACGTCCTCACATCCAGAATGATAGTGATTTGAAGTGTTTCACAAGGGATGTGTTAAATGGGCGATGGGGATTAAGGAGGGCACTGGTTGTGATAAACACCAGGTGTTGCATGGAAGGGATGAATCAGTAAATTCTGCACTTGAAACTAATACGACACTGTACGTTAACTACCGGAATTGAAATAAAAACTTGAAACTGCAAAAAAAGGAAGTGTCTTTCAAGACCAATGAATCAACAAATCAATTCTGCACATACTTGATTGATGTTCATTATACTACAGAGGTGCCTTAAGGTCTCCCTGCCTTTACCCATGGTCCAAAAATGACACAGATACTGCAGAAATTTGGTGTTGTCTACAAACCTATTCCATGCCATTGCAACAATCTTACTGCATGAAATTTCAAGATGGCATAATAGTGGTCCCTTTGGCTTTTTAACCCAGACACTTGAAGTGTGATAACTCATTAGTTGAAGAAATAGTTTCTCAAGTGTCTACAAGCCAGAGCAGTAATGTGGCAGTGACAAATTGCTTCCTGTCCATCACAGAATATAGAAATTTCACACTACCCTTCACACTAATCATAGTTCTTCCCTTGAAAATAAGTTACTTGAACAATTCCATTACTGAGTGCCTGATAACCTTTTTCCTTTGGAGAAGTATACAGAAACAATTCAAAATCATTGTATCACCCCTGCTACATGCCATGATATGTGTTTTGTGACTAGAATGTAACAGTTCTATACAGGAGAGAGAGAGAATATGTTGGTATCCATAGTTTATTGAACTCTAAATTCCGTAATTTCCTCCCAAATAATACTTATCATATAAGATATGTTTTTAAATTCCTGTAACAACATTATAAAATAACCTTTTAAAGTATTCAATGAAAGCTAAACAATTCAAAATGGTAGAACTATATGGTATTAGTTGGTACAACTCTTCAGTTATTACATAATTCCTAACCTTTATATCCATGGAATTCTACAGCAAAATCCTGAACAGAGTTCTAAAATTGTTTACTTTTATAATATGTCATGCAAGACCTACTTCTAACTATGTATTGTACCATCTATATGCTTTTCATTCTTGTTAATCAGACATCATATGGCTTCCTAACCTTCTCTCTCATGCCCTGCAGTTAGAATCTGCTACGTTTCTTCCCTTCATCACACACACACACACGCACACGCACACACACATGCATGCACACACACACACGTACACACACACTCATTTTCACATAGGCATATCATCCAAACCAACTGGTCTCCAGACCTTGGATTGGGCCAACTTATTCTCCACTTCCTTTTCATTTAATGCCCTTTCCCTCAGCTAGTGCAGATCCTTCTGTTTCAAGGTTCATTGCCTTCAAGAAGCACAGACTCCTGACTTACTGAACCCACCATTTGTCTTAACCTTACTTTGAATATTCTCATTAGTTATTTATACACAGTGTGTACCACGCCAGTATTATCTTCTTTTACATTGCCTCTGAAGGATTCTGGGAGGTCCAGGTCAGCATGTAGCATTTTCCAAGTAGACTTGAAATTCCTCAAGACCAGGAGCCATTTATTCGACTTTCTCTGATTTCCCATTTCATCTGATGCATGCTGTGTGCTCAAAACAGGCACTGAATGCTTTTTGAGTGAGTGCTTGAATGAATTTTGAAAATGAATAACTATTCATTGCTTAAGATACTCATGATTATCAAAGATAACCTGAAGTATTAGTTTTTAAGCAATCCAGTTTTGTTTTAATCAACCATCATGTATGGTTTTATACTTACCGGAACAGAAACTTGAGGATTATCTGCAAGTTTTCCCAGCACAGCGAAGCCATCAACATCGATTTGGCCTCTTGGCTTTATAGGTAAGGATTGAATCCTGTTGCAATCAACAAAAAGAGTAGCACTACTCCTTTCTACACCGATCATGATCTTATGCCACTGGGAATCAAACAAGGAAGGCAGATTTGAAAAGGTTGCAGTTTGGAGACTTCCATCCAGTCCTTTGTATGAAAATGCAACAGATTTTGTTTGGCCATTAATCTTCACGCCAACTTGCGCCTTCCCTGAGGAATCCTGAATCTGCCAAATGTTCCAGTTCTTTTCAAGTGTGCTTCCAGTCATCCGAAAAGTAGTTAAAAAGGAGTATTCTTCAGGCAGACCACTGGGATATAAATGCCTGAGTAAAATTTTAAAACAGTAAATAAAAGTCTTGTTTTTTGTACCCATGCATATTACCATATTCCCTTATGCTTTCTTAGATTCTAGACCTACAGAAAGGCTACAGTGTTAAAAAAAAAACCATGCACTGTTTGTTCTTTCATGACTGTCCATAAAAACCTTCAGAGAAGTTCAATCATTCATGTACGTTAATGCTCCATCCTAAAATACACTTTAAAAAAAAAAACAACCCTTCCTCACAGCTAAGGAGGGTTCCCAATGCCACATAACCCCAATAATATTACTATTTATGCTACCTAAAGAGCTCCTGTTCAGCAATTCCATCTCAGTCAAAATCATATTCTTGCAAGGCTCTTAGCAGCATTTCTTCCACAAATTAAAGAAGAGATCGTTTGGAATCCAAACCAGCTCTACTAGTTAATAAAGCCATTTAATTAAAGGAGATTTTAAATTTTTTAATTTTAATATAGTACATTGTTAGGAGTGTTTGTTATTTCCACAGTCGCTTGGGTGGTTCCCTCCACAATTATATCCTAGACCCACGTATGCCTTTTGAGATTCAGTCACTATAAACCTGAGAACCTCCTTCACACTGAGCATGTTAGATGCCATTAATTTTATTTGGTAAATAATAATATTTGACATTTCTGAAAATAGTTATGGACCAGGACTCAAAGTCCTGAATAACCTTCCTTCAGGTCAGATTCCTGTTAAAGAGCCCCATCTTGTGAAAGGAAAAAAGAGAAAGGCAAGAAGAAATATCTAAGTAGACGCTGATTTGATTTGTTACAAAATGAGTAACATAAATTTATTATATTGGCATATGCGTCACTGCCAGTTGCAATAAAATACATGGTTGGGGGGTCAAGAATTTCTAAACCAAAAAATTATTCAGTTCCAAGAATGTTTACCAATAAGTGAAATTATTCAACTTACTAAGATTTTCTATCTTTACTTTGACTTTAACTATAAAACTTAATCATCCCTCACAATATCATAAGTAAACATATAACTTACTGCAAGTACTTTTGCACACCTTCAGTAAAATGGGTCAACTATGTTAACAAATTTCATTGCTTTGCTGATTTTATAAAAATAACAAAAATATGAAGCTTTTCATCTGAACACCCTTTGAGCATCCAAGTACTTCTTTTACCTTTATGTCTCAAATGACTTTGTTTTTATTTATAATATTGGGTGAATTATTTTGTTACTACACATTCTTAAATGATCACTGGTGATATGTATTATACTTATTGCAAAGTTTTAAATTCATTAAGTATTTGTCAAATATACAGGAGGTTTTGGGGTGCCTGGGTGGCTCAGTCAGTTAAGCATCTGCCTTTGGCTCAGGTCGTGATCTCAGGGTCCTGGGATCAAGCCCCACACTGGGTCCCTTGCTTAGTGGGGTGTGCTTCTCCCTCTCCCTCTGCCCTTACCCCCCACTCCTGATTTCTTTCACTGTCTCTCAAATAAATAAAATATTTTTTTAAAGTATACAGGAGATTTTAACACATACATTTAAAAAATTCAGTTTGGAGCTAAAGAAGAAAAAAATGTGTGCAAGAACTATTTCCCAAGAATAAAGATGTCTACATTTGATATTTACTTTTAATATAGATTTTGAAATATTTCCTTTGACTCTAAGATTTTCAGAATATGCATATGCCAGACTAACCTCTAGAGAAGAAGCTAAGGTTCACTGTTGACAGTATAATATATTGCCTACTTTATAATTATAAAACCTTATAGAAGTTCATACATTTCACTTAATTGACCTCAATTAACTTGGAGCTAGGAGATGAGTTTTAAAAATTTTATTCAATGGTGAAATTTGACAAATATCCATTTAAATTATGAATGTGTTATTTTAATATTCTTCTCATTTAGTGATCTGGCTTTAACCAGATGTTTCAGGAATTTATTCTTCTTTGTTGTCCAAATATAGTTATTGTTGAGGGTGAGCCCTTCACAGAAGAAAGATGAATCTTAATGTTTTGTTCTCTTCCTTAAAGTATACTTTTTTTAGGTTTTTTGTAAACTTATGTATTTGCTTACAGATGCACTGAGCAAGGCTGTAGAATTTCATCAGTCCCTAGATAAAACAAATCTATTTTGCTTGGATTCCACTAGTCACAGTAACTTGTCTAAGTGACTCTTTTGCAAAGAGATTTTGAGGTTGACTGAGGAATCTCTCCCAATTTGTACTTCATCTCATCTTTCCTGCTAAATAAGCAAAGAGATTATATTGAAGGTAGGATAGAATAGAATGTCCCCATCTATCTCTGACTTGGTTCTGTAATGCCAAAAACTTTTTTTTTTAAATGAGCTGGTAACTGAGGTTACTAGAAGAACAGCTCATTTATAGACATATTGTTAAATCAAAGACATCCATCTGTTCTCTTTCTTCATGTGCATGAAGATAATATATATATGTTTGTTTGTATATGTATATATAAGTATAGTCAAGATTATCATGTTAGTCTTTTAAACTAGGTAATATAATTTGTCAGTATAAGAAAAGGGGACTCCTGGGTGGCTCAGTGGGTTAAGCCTCTACCTTTGGCTCAGGTCATGATCTCAGGGTCCTGGGCTCGAGCCCCACATCACACTCCCTGCCTGCTTCCCTCTCTCTCTCTCTCTCTCTCTGCCTGCCTCTCTGCCTACTTGTGATCTCTCTCTGTCAAGTAAATTTAAAAAAAAAAGAAAATCCCTTTTAGTGTACAAATTCACAAAATGTATCTGTATCTATACACACTTAAGACCTTTTAGAAGTCCTCACAAGTCTAATTTACATAGCAGTCAGTAGCATTGTCTTTTTTGAACACCTGAGATTCTGTTCTTGCAAAGATGCTATGCACATCGATAAGTAAACTTGACAGCATACATAATGTAAAAGAAGCTGGATCTATAAATGATTTATTTCATTATGTTACAATCTGCACAGAGTACCTTAAAAGAAGAACTCTAAGTGTTTGAATAAAAGATAAGGAGACTAGACCTTGAAACATTTGTTTATGACCTTAACCCAAAAAAGAACCAAGAATTATATTTGCTAAGGTAAACAAATACAAAATGTTTATAAATCTGAGTTGAGAATATGATATTATTATATCTAAATAAAAAACAAAAAGCAGTAAAAAAATATGTCTCAGAATCTTTCAAAAAATTGAAAATAGGAGGGTAAATTCTGGCTCTATCACATCAGCCTTATACGCCATACTCTCATTTCCCTCCCATGAAAATCCTGTTAAGGTTTTTTTTTTTTTTCATTCCCTCAGAACTTATACTCTCCAGAATAGAAATTTCCTTTAAACCGAGACTACTCCCTGCATGGTCTGAGAGCAATTTCGGTCCCTGCTTTTCTTGCCACCCAGTTTTTGAATCAGTAGGACTGGGAGGGCCGCTTGAAAAGAAAGAACCCACTAAGGAGAAAAGGCTCTCATCTGCACACACACGGTCTCCTTCTAGTACTCTCTACTAATTGAATGAATACTTAACTAATACCACTGCGTGCTAGGCTCTATCCAAACCCTCTCCAACTTACTAACATTTGCTCTTCATGGCAAATCTACAACACAGTTATCATTCTTGATTTATGCTGAAGGGACTGAAACAAAGATAGTGAAGTACTTGCCCAAAAGTACACTTTATTACCTATTTATGACTCCATTTATTTCAACGCTCTGGCTCTCGCCTCCTCTTTTTATTTCTTTTTCCTAATTTTTTTTTCTACTTCCTCCCTTTTCATCTTATAATAAGCTTTGTCAGCAAAACAGAGGTTTTTAGTCTTTGAGGGTCAGGGAGTCAAGGAAATAGGGAATATAAGACATTGGTTATATTTTGTGAAAAATATTTAGTGACAACTCTAGGCACTTAGAGAAAAGCAACAACAAAGATGAACAGGAGGTACAGGCTGATGTGACCTCAAGTTGGTCAGTACCTGAACTTAGAGTAAATGACAGTCCAGATCGTACCTCAAGTTATAGAAAAGGGAATTAGGTCAGCATTAGGGGGTCTTGCATCATGTTTATTTTATTAAAGAAAGAAAAAAATGAATGTTTTTTTAAAGCTTATTTAAGAACACATCCAGGGCTAGACACTGGGCATGGAGCCTACTTAAAAAAAAGAAGAAGAAGAACACAGCTAGCCTTCAGTGCATGAAAAGAAAGTACAAGCAAAAAATTTTTTAAAAGTCAGTAGCTGTTATCATGTCTGTAATCTTTCTGAGTGTGAATAATTTTCCAGGGTCAGTATTGACCCTGAATTCTGCCTGAATTTCCATCTTTCTAGCACCTCCCAACCCTGGGACCTCATGTAAGTAACTTAAATTTTCTGGCCTCAGTTTCCTCTTTCATAAAATATGGATAATAATGTCTCTACTGCAGGGTTGTGATGAGGATGAGATTTAATGTTAATTAGTAAATTTAGAAAAAGAGCTTATGCAGTGCACTATTGTCATTTTATAAAATATAGTTCATATTTAGAAAAATATAGTTTTTATACTCAAAATATGAATTTCTATCTGCAGTCTGGTATATATCAAATATTCTAACTTGACCAAATTCTCATGATTATATATAAACATTTAGAGCTTTTTAAAAAGATTTTATTTATTTATTTGACAGAGAGAGATCACAAGTAGGCAGAGAGAGAGGAGGGGGAAGCAGGCTCCCCGCTGAGCAGAGAGCCTGATACGGGGCTCAATTCCAGGACCCTGAGATCATGACCTGAGCTGAAGGCAGAGGCTTTAACCCACTGAGCCACCAGGTGCCCCACATTTAGAGCTTTTATAATACTCTTTTACTGTTCTAAATAATCATTATTTACTTTTACAACTTAATTTTTATCAAAGTCCTAATTTTCTTATTCATCTATCAAAGGAAACTTAATTCAGTTTTTTTGCAGTGCATTAAAACATACAAAATCATGATAATTACATTTATGGTATTTAAATGATATAAAACTGAAAATCCTGAAGCTCATTCATAACAATGGCTTGACTCAACACTTACCTACACTAAAGCACCACAGTTATAAATATTTTAAAGGATAAAAAACATAGTTCTAGAAAGGAAGGTAAACAAAGTGGAGGATTTTTAAATTATTGTCACTAGCATTGCTTCGGTGATCATTATTCTAGTTTTGCTTTTGTTTGATTCCTGCCAGGAACCAAGCAGTAGAAGTGTGGTTCAATTTCAGCACTAGGACGTTTGAACAGCACCATTGTGAGTCTTCTAACCACTCCACGGTTCCTAGTTAAATTTATGCTTAACCTCTGGCACTTTTCACAGAGGGTCCTTTCAGCCAAAACCAGACAAATTACACAAAAACAGTGTGCAAAGTAATAAGAACATGTCCTGAATCAATGTATAATGGTTTCAGTGATTTTTTGCTTCTTGGAATGAAAAGTAAATTACATACTGAAAACATGAAGAGTATTCACGTATTTAGACACCGAACCCTGGAGACTGATAAATAAATTTCTTCATCTTCAAATAAATTGGTGATCTAAGAAGCATTGAACATGAGATTTTCTAACATTGCATAGCTTTTCATTTTTTAAAATGCATTTGAGACAGATAATTAGATAAAATATTTGTGTATACCTTGTTGGAATCCTGAAGTCTACATTATTTCCCAATTTGTAAGCCACTTGTAATGCAGTTGATCCCACTACCCTCTGAATAGCTCTTCTAGATGCTGCTTTATCTACCTGGAACTGAGAAATCAAGTCAAAGCCTACAGAAAGGGAACACAGAATAAAAAGTCTAAAATGAGATTGGTTATATTCCTTTTCACAACCTTCCCAAATAATAGAATATATCAGGTAAGTTTATAGAAAGCATGCATTTTCAATATGATATAAGGCTACTTGCCTGGTAAATCATCTTGGCCAATCCTGACCTTTGGACAGAGTTCATTTCCACCATTAGAATTTGAATTAACAGGGAACCCTGCAAAAGAGTAGCATGTCATCCAACCCTAACCCCTACAAGGACCATGAAGATATATCAATAACAACAAGAGCTGAACAACTATTTAAAGGAGGACAATATGCCAAATAGCTTGCTTATAGTATATTTGACTTTAACTCTATGACTCTATGATTATAATTAATTTATCTTCAACTCATCCTGGAAGAGAAACAAGGTGGAAGGTTTTAATAATTTGTACTGGGAAATATTCCTTTGGGAGAAGTTGGGAATTTGTTCCTTTTGGAACCAGAGCTGTGCCATGTTCTGAATGGCACGGTGTCAAACGCCTGTTTGGGAAACTTCTGGTGGCTTGGACTAGAAAATATTCCTTAAACACCACAACTTTTAGGATTCCTAAGAGAATCCAGAGCCAGTCTTGAGCCAGTTAATGGGACTTCTGGAGAGTGGGGTTCTTAGGAATCTTTGTTAAATAGAGGCGTTTGCAGGGAGACTTGGATTTCGTTAGTCCAAAATAAAATATATAGGGTGTTTTAATTTTACAACTTCATTCCAAGAGATCAAAAAAGGGTCCCAACTAGACTCTTGCTCGCATCCTAGAATTGGGAAAAGTAATGAAAAAAAGAAAAGAATCATACAAATGATTAAACCCTTAATTCAATGAGAAATCCTAGAATTAAATTGGGTGCTCCTTACACGGGTGGAAAGTTGCAGGGAGAAAGATTTTTAAGAAGGCTTCTTGTAACCGTCCAACCCCAGCACCCTGCTGAGACAGACCTGACAACAGAGACTTCCTAGACTTCAGAAAAAGCATTTTCCAGCTACAAGTTTTGGCTCAGCCATCCCAGTATATTCAAATAGTTTTTACACCTCCACTGACCCCAGGTCATTCATCCATCCATTCATCCATCTGTTGGTCCACCCACCCAACCTTACCAATCACCATGTGAACCAAGTAGGCACTGTGCAAGGCACTGGAGTACCCAGCTTGGGCTTCCCTGCCAGTTGTGATCACAGCCAGGACTTCTCTTCTATACCCAACCCTGACCACACAAAACCAGCCACAGAGCAATCCCCTTGCTAAAGCAGGATGGAAGAGTGAGGCTGTGGAGGACCATGGATGCTTCACTCAGTCCTCACTTAGCCACAGCCCTGCCTGATCCTTTCTGGGAACAAACGATATTTCAAAATCCAGAAACAGTGGCCCTTACTTGGGCGACGCTTGACAGCAGCAGATGCCCAAGATCCCAGGAAACTGCATACAAAGAAGAAAACTGGAATTTTCCTGAAGAGGAGAAAAGACAATGACTCAAATAAGAATCCCTCCAGATGGGGACTACTTAAATATTTTGATATCTGGTAAACACGATTAATGTAGGTGATCAAATCTCACTATAGTTTATTTTTTCCACTTGACTTTGAAATCTTGAGAGATTTAATGAATTCTCACATTTCCAGCTCCTGCACTAAAACAATCATGAAACTGCTGTTTGCTTTATCTCACTTTCTCTATATCTACCTATTTCACCATTTCTACATCTATTTCCTCATCTATGTTTTCTTTTATCTTAGTATTTCTCCTTCTTCTTTTAAAGATAGCTCTCTCTTCTCCTTTCTCTGTCTGTCTCCTGTCTCTTATGCTTGTTCTCTTGTCTCACTCATCTGTCTGCCTGTCTTTCTCCATCTGTGTCTCTGTCTGGGTCTCTCTCTTATTCTCCTCTCCCTTCTCCCATCTTCTCTCACCTCCTCTCATCCTATCACCACTGCAGAAACACAGACCCTTGGTTCTGAGGGCTCCAACCCAGTCTCCCCACCACTCTTTCCAAGGTCAAGGTCTTACCAGAAAATCTTCATTTTCCCAACTGGTTTTCTTTTGTGCCAACAGTCCCAGTGCTGAAGGGGTTGTGTGGGGAGGGAGGGTCAGTGCTCCCCCCAAGGCCCCTTCACTGGGCCCAGCCTTGGTTCCTCCTGCCCTTGTAAGGGCTTAAAGCAAAGGGAGTGAACCAGAGGCATCTAGTGACACTTTAAACCACAGCAGAGGGAAGGGGTGGGAAGAGGCGGCCCTGTGAGCCCAGGCCTAGCCAGGGGTGTGTCCTCAAAACTAACAAGGTTACTCTGAAGGAGGGATTAGCAAGGGAAAGTTTACTGAAAAGAAAAAAAGTCAGGATGTGGAGAAATTCACCAGAAAAACTCAAGCAAACTGCTATAGGAATACAGTGGAAGCCTTTAGAACTGTTCTAGGAATACAGTGAATGCTTTTAGAGGACTACGGTAAAGAGGTGCTCACTGGAAAGCAGAGATGTGGGAACTCATGGGCACCTTGGTGTACAGCCAACCTAGATTTGAATCTCCATTTGTTCTGAAGCTTACTAGTTGTATCTTTGGGGGCAAGTTAGTTAATCTGTCTGTAACTCAGTTGCCTTGGATGAAAAGTGAGTTGAAAAGTTACCTAAAACAATTGTTTTTAGGTCACATAGAAGAAAGTCTAATGCCTGGCTCAGGGGAACAGCCATTATTCCCCATCATCATCATTATAACTAATATAACTTCACTATTTGCCCCCCTCTATTGAAAAAGCTTGAAACCTGATAACATTTGATTCTCAGTATATTATAAAGTACTAAAATTATTCCTGTTCTACAGGTGAGACAACTGAGACATAAAAATAAAGTAACTTGGAATTTGCTCAAAGTTGCACAGCTAATTAATTACCCAAGACATGCTAGTTTTCTATATTTCATGGCTAGAAGTCTTGGTAAAATGTAACATCAAGCCCCCTATCTTGTATTTCTTCTTAAACTCTATAATTACCAGAGCTAAGCACAATATCCTGGGAAATAAGCAACATATCATCCTCTATAAACAAGTTGAGAGCATGTTAAAAGGAGCACAGACCTGAAGAGAAAGGTTTGTATTAGCACCATGTCACGCAAACCCATCCTCTCCCCAGAACCTCAGTACTTCAAGAGAGAGCCTCTACCCCATCCACTCAGGATGGTTGGTCTGCTTCTTGTTCCATCTTGGGGCATACTAGTGTCCACTCCAAAAACAAAGACTTTCAGGCTCAGATGATCCAATGATCTTAGTATGTTTTGGCGTCTAGTGTGAAGTATTGTTTTCTTGAAATGTATTTAATTTTTAAACAATTTCATTCTTCAATTGCAAAATAAATGGCATTAGTTCTTATTTTCTGTTTGTTTCTTTAAAAAAAAAAATCCTTTCCTCTTCTGTTTTCCTCAGTTCGATGGAGAATTTGTTTCCCCTGATGAGCTGAGAACCAGGTAAACCTGAACATCTACACCATTTGTTCCCCTTTCCTTTTCTACTCATGACCTACCTGTCTCCCCCCTGGCATTAGGACATACATTCCCTCATGTTGTTTGGGGCTCTCCACAGGGCCCTGTCATTCTCCTTCCATCTATCAAAATTATGATTCCCAAGGGTAACCATTTTCTAAGTCACAGAATTTTATAATTTATAATGGTCCTAGCCTAGCTTTTCCTTGAAAGTTGACCAGGGCTTATGTAAATGGAACAGTTTATTAACCAAAAAAACCCCTGAATTTCTAATGGTAGGACTCCAGAAGAGAAACTGCAGCTGGGGACCTCCTTGAAATCACACAAGGTGAGTGAGCCCTAGGTCCACAGGGGAAGGGGCATTTTCCTAAGGGACCCTCTCCACTCAAGTTCTTTATCTGTAGTACAGATCCTCTAACACTATTTACTGTGGGAAACAAGAGAGGCAGGTCTTCCTGTGTAATGGTTTGAGAAATTCTTTTTTTGAGGGTTTTAAATATCTCACTTCTGCTTTTGTCCCCTCCTCCTCCCACTTTGAAGAGTCTTCCACAGCTAGAATAAGAAGGCAAATAAAGAGGACTTTTAATGAAAGATTTTTTAAATGAGAAGAAAATAGGTTTTCTTATAAGCAGTTTGGCTTTATTCCAGCTTGGCAGTTTTATGTAAGATGAAGATGAGTAAGCAACAGCGCTGTTAAGAAAGAATGTAGGGGCGCCTGGGTGGCTCAATGGGTTAAGCCTCTGTCTTCGACTCAGGTCATGATCCCAGGGTCCTGGGATCCAGCCCCACGTCAGGCGGTCTGCTCCGCAGGGAGCCTGCTTCCTCCCCTCTCTCTCTCTGCCTGCCTCTCTGCCTACTTGTGATCTCAGTCTGTCAAATAAATAAAATCTTAAAAAAAAAAGAATGTAAATTCAGAGAAAACAAGATCTCTCTCTCTACACACACACACACACACACACACACACATGCATTTAAGGACACTTTTTCTCCTTTTCCCACCCCTGTTTTCTATTAATCATATTTCATAACTTGACATGAAGTCTCCCAGGGAGCTGTGCAAACCCCACACTCTCTGGTCTGGGTCAGACTGTACCCTAAAATCAGACACATAAGCTTTTTCGTCATTAACACTGTTCCCTCACTTCACCTAACAGTTTTGTTCCTGCAAAACAATGTGGAAATGAAATCTGATCAATTATATAAGATTGTAAATGCAGTAAGACAGTGCTATATTTTAAAATTATCCATTTTATAAATAGAAGCCTTTTATATGAAAAATTGTGCTTTCATCCCTCTTTACTCTCTCCCTCCCCCAACACACGCTGCTCTGTACAATACACACACAAACACACACACACACACACACACACACATCTTGCCCTTTCTAGAAATCTAGAATTTTATTTACTTATCGTTTACATCAGAGAACTTCATCACAAATAATCATCTTTCTTGATCACCTACCTCTTTTGTTTTTATACCCAATCATTCAGCAAACACTTATTAAATGGCTGTATGTACCAAGTATATAACCACTTTTACCAAGTGCTAGGAGTTGAGGAGACAAAAGAAAACCCTTGTCCTGAGGAAGCTCACAGCCAAGTTTGGAAGTCCAGCATGAAAATGACTGTAAAATAGTGAGGGAATGACGTTGCAGCATCCCTGAGAACAAGTATGAACTCAGTCCAGGAGCATCAGGAAATTTTTCTCGAAGAATGTGAAATCTTAAAGCATGAATAGAAGCCTACCAAGAGAACAAGTGGGAACAATACATTCTGGGCAGAAGAAATAGCGGGTACCATGATAAAAAGGTAGAAGATAGTAATTTAGGAACCCCAAGTTTAATTCAGGAACTCTTTCACTTGGTAAATTTTTATTGGTGACTCTTCTACCATGAGGCTTGAACTGGTCTCAGCACAGAGGTATAGCAGAGAAAGACCAGATCCCTGCCCCCATGGACCTTACAGCTGGTGGAGATAGGTACTAAGCACATTTACAAGAAGAGACGTATAATTTGAATTGGAACTGTTATAAAAAAATATATATACAGGGGTATATATACAGGGGTGCATGGGTGGCTCAGTTGGTTAAGCAACTGCCTTCAGTTCAGGTCATGACCCCAGGGTCCTGGGATCCAGCCCCACATCAGTGTCCCTGCTCCGGGGGGAGTCCTCTTCTCCCTCTCCCTGCCTCTCACCCTGTTTGTGCTCTCTCTCTCCGTCAAATAAATAAAATCTTTAAAAATACATACAGAAGTGGGTGATGTGCATTAGAAAAGGCAAGGGTAGGTTTAGAGACTGATCAAGATTAAGGGGTAAATGAGATGATTTACCTCTGAGATGATACATTTTGATTCAGACTAGATGAGAATCCAGAGACAAGACTGATAAGGTAGACTGCAAAAGGAGAGGAAGGCAGGTGGAACCACTTGGTTTTCAAGCTTGAGCAACCAAGTATACGGTGATGTCATTTTCTGAAAAGACAAGTAGAAGGACCATGGAGGAGGCATTCAGTAAGGGGATAATGGGAACCTTTGAAAGATTTTGGACTTTATTCTGGCTATTAAGGGAGCTGGGTGAAGAGTTTGAGGCTAAAAATGACTTTTTAGATAGGTCTTCAGAATAATGGTTCTGGCATTGCTGAAGGATGGATTGAATGTATTTGATAAATATACATGCATACACACAACTGAAACAAGTTTCAGAAGACAATATTTATCTATGTAAATGTAGTGCACTCTATTTTCTGTTTTTATTCTATTTCACTTTTTAGTGATGGTGACCAACTCAATAGATAGATTTTAGGACCAGCTAATGGGTTGCAACCCATGGTTTTAAAAACATTGTATTAGAATACAGTAGGCACTAGATATGTCAAGATGCATCTATCCCCTTATTTCCTGGCATAGGGCAGAATAGTTGGGACATCTCATAAAATTCAAAGAACAGTGGGGAAGCCTCCTTAGTTTTAACACAATGATATTTTTAATTAACATAAAAGTATATGTTAATTAAAAATATCATTGTGTATGATATTTATATCATTAACATATAATGTATTATTTGCTTCAGGGCTACAGGTCTGCTAATCACAGTCTTATAAAATTCACAGCACTGAGGCTCCTGGGTGGCTCAGTGGGTTAATCCTTTGCCTTCGGCTCAGGTGGGGGTCTCAGGGTCCTGAGATCAAACCCCACATCAGGCTCTCTGCTCAGCAGGGAGCCTGCTTTCCCCGCTCTCTCTCTCTCTGCCTCCTCTCTGCCTCCTTGTGATCCCTCTCTGTCAAATAAATAAATAAAATCTTAAAAAAAAATTGACAGCGCTTACCATAACACATACCCTCCCCAATGTCCATTATCCACCCACCCCATCCCTCCCACCACCACCCCCAGCAGCCCTGAGTTTGTTTCCTGAGGTTAAGAGTCTCTCATGATTAACCCAATGATATTTTTTAAAGTATTATTTTGAAATAAAGTTACCATAAACACAGCTTTTTTAAAGATGCTGTGCATCCCGAATTTACTTTATAGATTAAAACCAAGAAGAAGCCCTTTTAAAATTAGCTTCCTAATAGTGTTTAATTGTAAGCTTTCTTCTGCATATTTTGTCTTTAAAAATAAAAGACTCAAATGCCTAGTGACATATAACAGTTGTGCAAGGATGCTGCAAATTAGCCACAGCTAGAACTTGAAATTTACCAAAGGAATCTGGCTGAGAGGCTGATTAATAATCAGAGTTGCTAAAAGTAGGACTCTCACAGTTTTGCATTAAGTTTTACTGTAAAGAAATCCCACCACAATCAAAGCTCTATTTTTAATCTGCTTATTTTGTTTCCATAGTTGTAATTGTAGCCTAATCATATATAGCAAGTAAATAGAGCCTCATGATGATAGCCATTTCTCTCTGAAATCACTCACAGATAAATGTGCTCTTGCCATGGACCATTAATACAAAAATGCATTATTTAACATAAACACTCCCACCTCCAAGTTTTCTGATGTATGATTTTTGTTTTCTCTGAAATATGAGCATTTGCATTACCCCCCCCCCCGCAAGGGAGAAATCAAGTCCCCTCCACCACACATGTGCTTCCAACTTATGTTGCTACATTTGTTGCCTAGTGGATCTTCAATTTGTAGCAGCTGATTCATGTCCTAAGCCTCTTTTGCATCTTCAAACCTCACATACTGATCACTTGCCATATTTTTCTACATGCCATAAACCCTTCTTTTCTAACAGTGGTTCCCAAAACTACCTCAAAATCATCTGAAGATAAAAACGTTTCTCTGGGCTTCACCGTCAAAGTTTCTGATTCAGGAGCTTTAAGGTGGGTCTGAGACTTTATATTTCTAACAAGCTCCCAGGTTGTTGTTGGTGCTACTGGTCCAGTGAGAAATGCTGCTTCTAAAGGTAATGTTTTCAACTCCATTGAGCTACCCCTCCTTTTTATAACTGATATGGAGTTGCAGACTGAAGTTTTTAAAATACTTACTTGCAGAATAACTTTTTAAAATAAATATCAGTTGCACCCATAAAAACAGATCTACTGGGAACTTTCACACTTATGAAAACAAAATTGTACTAATTTCTTTATATTATATGTATTAAGGATATTTACCTGGCAGAATGATGTACAGAAACCAAGCCTTCCCTTTCGCACTCTTCTCACTTATCAAGCAAAATATATAAAATGTGTTCCTAAATCCATGTTATCCTTAATCAATAAAATATAAAAAGATCCTTCATTCTGAAATCACTCTCTTTTATCAAAGAACCCTTAAGAGATCATTGCTTTATGTCGTATCCTATGAAATTTTATATGCATTCACTAGCTTTCACACTCTGGAAAAATGCTTGTCTACACTAGGTGGCAGTGTAACCCTGCAATTTGAAACGTGAGCTGAGGCGTCACACTAGAATTTAATTTCCAGTTTCTCAGTAGATAACTGATTTTATGCAGATATTCCATTCTTGGTTGGTTTCCATATGTATGTATGTGTATACACACACACACACACATATGTATATATACATATGTGTGTGTGTGTGTGTGTGTGTGTGTGTGTATATGTTTATAGTTGATTCCATTTTAGGGCTATTCTCAGAATAAATGTGCAAATAAAATGTAATGTGTTCAGAAAGTCTATTGAAGGAGAAAGACACTAAATAAACATTGAAATTTTTTAAAAATTTAATTTCAGTATAGTTAACATACAGTGTTATATTAGTTTCATGTGTACTATATAGTGATTTTAATAATTCTGTATATTACCCAATGCTCATTTGATAACTATACTCTTAATTCCCTTCATCTATTTCCCCCTTGCCCCTACCCACCTCTCCTTTGCAACCACCTATTTGTTCTGTATAGGTAAGAGTCTGTTTTTTGGCTTGTCTCTTTTTTTTTTAATATTTTATTTATTGATTTGACAGAGAGATCACAAGTAGACAGAGAGGCAGGCAGAGAGAGAGAGGGAAGCAGGCTCCCCGCTGAGCAGAGAGCCCGATGCGGGACTCGATCCCAGGACCTTGAGATCATGACCTGAGCCGAAGGCAGCGGCTTAACCCACTGAGCCACCCAGGCGCCCCTGGCTTGTCTCTTTTTTATCCCTTTGTTAACTTGTGTTGTTTCTTAAACTCCACATATGAGAGAAATCATATATTTTTTTAATTGTTTAATATATTGTTAGATTTAGTTTGCTAATATTTTGTTGAGGATTTTTGCATCTGTGTTCATCAGGAATATTGTCCTGTAGTTCTCTTTTTTTGTGGTGTCTCTCTGGGTTTAGTATTAGGATAATGCTGGCCTCGAAGAATGAATCTGGGAGCTTTCCTTCCTCTTCTAATTTTTGGAAAAGTTTGAGAAGACTAGATGTTGACTCTTCTTTAAATGTTCAGTAGAATTCACCTGACAAGCTGTCTGGTCCTGGACTTGTAGTCAGGAGTTTTTTGATTACTGATTCAATTTTATTGCTAGTAATTGGCCTGCTTAAATTTTCTATGTCTTCCTGCTTCATTCTTGGAAGGTTATATGTTTTTAAGAATTTATCCATGTCTTCTAGGTTGTCCAATTTGTTGGCATATAACTTCTCACAATAGTTTCTTACAATACTTTGTATTTCTGTGGTGTCAGTTGTCATTCCTCCTCTTTAATTTGTGATTTTGTTTGAGTCCTCTTTTTCTTTGTCAAATGAGTCTGGCTAGAGGTTTATCAGTTTTGTTGATCTTTTCAAAGAACCAGATCCTGGATTCATTGATCTGTTCTACTCTTTTAGTTTCCATATCATTTATTTCTGTTCTAGTCTTTATTATTTCCTTCCTTTTGCTGGTTTGGGATTTTATTTGTTCTTTTTCTAGCTCCTTTAGATACATTATTGTATATTATTATTTTCGTCTTTTGTTACAGTCTTTGTTTTAAAGTCTGTTTTGTCTGATATAAATCTTGCTACCTCCACTTACCTTTGACATCCATTTGCATGATAAATGTTTCTCCATCCCCTCACTTTTAATCTGCATGTGTCTTTAGGTTTGAAATGAGAATCTTATAGGCAGCATGTAGATGGGTCTTGTTTCTTTATCCATTCTGCCATTTTGCATCTTTTGACTGAATATTTAGTTCATTTACATTTAAAGTAATTATTAATAGATTCGTATTTATTGCCATATCGTTATTTGTTTTATGGTTGTTTTGTAGGTCTTCCCTGATCCTTTCCTTCCAACTCTTTTTCATGCTTTGCTGGCCTTATTTAGTGATATATTAAGTTCATGGTAGCTTAAATTTGAACCCATTCTTTACTCAACCCCCCTCCCATATTTTAAGTATAGGATGTCATATTTTACATCCTTTTATTTTGTGAATCCTTTAATTGATGTTTACAGTTTACTTATTTTTTGCTGCTTTTGTGTTTCCTACTTTCCTTACCCTATGGTCTTTCCTTTCCACTCAAAGTGTCCTTTTTACACTTTTTGTAGGGCTGGTTTAGTGGTCATGAACTCCTTTAGCCTTTGTCTGAGAAACTCTTTATCACTCCTTTTATTCTGAAATGATTGCCTTGCTGGATAAAGTATTCTTGGCTGCAGACTTTTTCCATTCATCACTTTGAATATATCATGCCCCTCTCTTCTGGCCTGCAAAGTTTCTGCTGAAAAAGCTACTGATAGCTTTGTGGGATTTCTTTGTATATAACCATCTTTTCTCTTGCTGCTTTTAAAATTCTCTTTTTTATTTTTTCACTATTTTCTGCCATTATAATCATCATGTGTCTTGGTGTGGACTTCCTTGGCTTGATTTTGTTGGGGAATCTCTGTGCCTCCTGGATCTGGATTTCTTTTTCCTTCCCCAGATTCAGGAAGTTTTAAGTTATTATTTCTTCAAATACATTTTGTGTCCCCTTTCTTTCTTCTTCTTCTTCTTCTAGGATCCCTGTAATGTGAATGTATTGTGTTGGATGGAGTTGCTGAGTTCCCTAAGAATATTCTCATTTTGCATATTTTTTTCCTCTTAGCTACACAGCTTGATTACTTTACATTACTCTGTCTTCCAGGTTGCTAATTCATTCCTCTGCTTCCCCTAGCCTGCTATTTATTTCATCTAGTGTATTTTAAATTTCACTTATTGTGTTCTTCATCTCCAATTGGGTCTTCTTTATCTCTTTGTTAAGGGTCTCACTGATGTCCTCTACTCTTTTATCAAGGCCAGTGAGTACCTTTATGACCATTACTTTAAATTCTCAGCAAGGTGTATTACTTATGTCCATTTTGCTTGGATCTCTTGCTGTGGTTTTGTCCTTTTCTTTCATGTGGGACAAATTGCTGTGTCTCCTAATTTTGTCTAACTCTCTGTGTCTGTTTCTGTGTGTTAGGCAAGTTAGCTGTGTCTCCTGCTCTTGAAAGTAATGGCCTTATGCAGAAGAGGTCCTGTAGTGCCCTGCAGAACAGTGTACCCTGTTCATCAGAACTTGATGCTTCAGGGGGCGTCTCCTCTGTGTGTTGTGTGCACCCTGCTAGTTAGTCCTGGCTGTATT